CGTGTGCACGTGTATGTGCGTGTGTGCATATGTGCACCACATGTGGTATGCATGGATGGGTGTGTACACGTGTGCAAAGACGCTGTGTGCATGTGTAGGGTCTAGCGCCTACACTACTTAGCCAACAGGACACTGCTGTGCCCAGGACCTGCCTGGGTGGGGGAGCCGGGCCAGGCCTGGGGGTGGCCGCCGGCCGCTGCCCAGCTTTTTCCGGGCGAGGGGCCTGGAGCAGACAGTCTTGGAGCGAGGCCTCGGGCAGCGGGGCCAGGGGACCTCACGTGTAGGCCATCTTACTGCACACCCAGGGTCGCGTGGTCAGACACTCCGTGGACACCAGCCGAGTGGGTTCCACAAACACGCACTCCCCTGGGCCCGACACTGGGAACCTGTGGCCAGAGGGAGAACAGATTCTCAGGACAGGCCCACGGTCCCCTAAGGCTGCCTGGCCACCATACCACCCCCAATGGCCACCCTGGGTCTCGGTCACACTCGCTGAACCCAGAGACCCATGCCCCCAGCTATGTGTCCTCCTACAAAGTGAAGCTCACGTGTCGGGGTCAAATGGGTCCCCGTTGACCCAGTGGAATTCGTCCCCCACTCGGCGCAGGCCAATCCAAGGCTCCCTCCTTGTGAACTTGAACATGAACTCCTGCAAAAAAAGGTCAGAGAGCCAGGTCACATGCTGCCTCCTGACAATCTCAGCTCAACTCAGGAGATGCACTACTTCCTGAGAGGGTCAGGCTTGGGGCAGGCCAGGCCCCACTGCACCCCACGAGTGAAGCACTGGGGTTCCCTCGGCCCCACAACCATCAGGCCAGGCTGCTCGGAGCAGTGTACCCGGCTCAGCAGTCCAGCTCTGCCTGCTCGATGCTGTGTTTGGGGCCAACTTCAAATTTAGGTCTCCTTCTACCCAGAGTCCCAGAGAGGGGTGCAGAAGACTGTGTGCTCATGGGTCCCACGCCAGCAGACATCCCACAGTGACTTCTACACTGTCTGACACCCTTAAAGGCCACAATGGCTCACAGACTTAGACACAGTGCTTCTTCTGACCCCCTGGGGCTCACACAGAGTTAGGGGTTCAAGTCTACCCAGAGGCACCAGGAAGAAAGGCCTGGCAATCCACTTTCAAAAACACTAGTGATTGACAACCATGGGGAGTGCAGAGCTGCTCCCACACACGCTGGCTGGCCTTCAGGGCTGGGGATGAAGTGGCTGGACACCCTCTGAGCGGACAGTGCAGTGGGAGGGCATTCCTCCATTTCAGGGGTCCTTGTAGCACATTTACAGCAGAAGACGGGGGCCAGTCTGTGGCTGTAGCAGC